TCTTTGGTTCCTACAGTGACATGCATTTATTCAATGTGGGGTCTTGTTTGTCTTAGCGATCACAAGTCAAAAATATTACTTAAGTTGTTGAAAGGGTGTTTTTCTTTCTTCTTTGTTCAAGAAACTTTTAACCATTGAAAATGTTTTCAAATACCACATGGTCAATCAGAAGATCATACTTAAGAAATTTGTGTACCTATAACATGTATAAATAAAGGCTACTCTCTCAAAAGTTATGTATGCTATAGACGCAGAATTTTATATTTATAATAAAAAATAAAAGTGCTCATTAAGACCTATATATAATGAGATTTTTAGTTTAATATCCTGAAAATTGGATTTTATAAGATAAAATATATGTTATATTTTCATAGTATTTGAAATCTATCAACATTTTCATAAAAAAAAATTCCCTTCACAAAGAAATTTAATTTCTTTAATAATATTACTGAGGGACCTTAACTAATAAGAAAAAATATATTAGATCTCTTCTACCCTCCAAAGTTGAATATGGATATTTCTCTAATTTTCTTATATATAATACCACTAATATATACATATATTTTAAAAGGGTCATGATTGAGACCCCCTCCAATCACCACCCCACCACCCCACACACACGTGGCAGGTGGTGATTGGAGGAGAAGGAAAAAAAAGAAAAAGAAAAAGAAAAACTGGCCAATCATATTAAGAGGGGATTAAAGGGTGGAAGGGAAAGGAAGTCCGGAACATTATTGATTTTAAAATCTTAGAATGGTTATTAATTTTTCATTTTAAATTCTTTAAGAGTTAATTTTTGAAAAGTATTATTAAATAATAGTTTAGCACTAGACTAGAATAAGGAAGTTTCACCAAATATTATTTAATCTGACCTCATGAACCCAATAATAATGTGATAAAATTAATTATTTAAACCACAATCACAGAAACCCCCAAATCAAATTCACTTCAACAACCGAGAGAGAGAGAGACAGTATAATAAGGCCACTAGAAGAGTTTTATTTATGGTATGAGAAAAAATAATGATATACAAATAAAAATTATATATAAAAATATATGGCTAATGATGTAGAAAAATTATGAATCATTAGTTGAGTACATCAGAATATTATACATGAATACATTTTTATCAAAAAAAAAAATTCAATTGTTAGACAAAAAATACTAAATTGTTTTTTGGGAAACACATCCAAAGTTGAATATGGATATTTCTCTAATTTTCTCATATATAATACCACTAATATATACATATATTTTAAAATCTTAGAGTGGCTATTAATTTTTCATTTTAAATTCTTTAAGAGCTAACTTTTGAAAAGTATTATTAAATAATAGTTTAGCACTAGACTAGAATAAGGAAGTTTCACCAAATATTATTTAATCTGACCTCATGAACCCAATAATAATGTGATAAAATTAATTATTTAAACCACAATCACAGAAACCCCCAAATCAAATTCACTTCAACAACCGAGAGACAGACAGTATAATAAGGCCACTAGGAGAGTTTTATTTATGGTATGAGAAAAAATAATGATATACAAATAAAAATTATATATAAAAATATATGGCTAATGATGTAGAAAAATTATGAATCATTAGTTGAGTACATCAGAATATTATACAAGAATACATTTTTATCAAAAAAAAAAATTCAATTGTTAGACAAAAAATACTAAATTGTTTTTTGGGAAACACCCTTTATACTTGGTAATAAAAATATCAGATAAAAAAATATGTTTATGTCAAACATTTTCTTTATGAAACACCCTTCTTAATTACTTTGAATTTACCAAAACCACTATGCAAATTACAAAAATGAAATTTTTTAAAGTGTATAACCAAAACACAACATTCTATTAGTCCAAAATTATGAATACTTTATTCAAAAAGTGTATTGATTGTACTTAAAATTCTGAGTTTCACTATTTTGAATCAATAGCAACTTATATTTTGTACTCCCTCCGTCCCAAAATATTAGTCCCTTATTCCATTTTTCATTGTCCCAAAATAGTAGTCCCTCTTCAAAAATCAAGTACAAAAATAATATAAATTTCCTATTTTGCCCTTGTTTTAAATTAATAAACAATACAAAAAGTACAATTATGACATTGATATTTTCAAAAAATGTACTATCAAAAGGATAATTTTGGAAAAACAACTTTTTTCAAATGCAATAATTGTACTATCAAAAAAAGTTGAATTCCCCAAAAAGGATCATTATTTTGGGACGGAGGGAGTACATATATTTTGAAAATATATGAACAAAATCGAATTCACAAATTACCTTCATTTATGGAAATTTACATCTTACATGGGAGAAAAGTAAATTCAAAATTATCCGATCTTTAGTTGAAACGAATTTTCTTCGTGTTATATTTAGATAATAAAAAACTTTAATTTATATTTTATTTTTATTTTTATTTTTTATTTTTAAAATTTTATTTAAATTAATAATCAAAACAACACAAAAGCTCAAAGCAAAAGCCACCACGCAATTCCGGTGGCGGTCGCAGCGGTGATGGTGGCGGCGGTAATGGTGATAACAGTGAAATTAATTACCGTTATTTGAACCGTTATTTGAGTAGCCTCCACGCTCCGAGTAGCGCGCGTAGCACTTTCCCAAGAACATATCACCCCAAGCCGCAGACCCACAGTCGCTTTTCAACCGTCCGATCGCCTCCGACAGACAATCCTGGCACTCGCTCGGACTCAAATCCTGTACGCACTGCGCCACACCCTGTACCTTCCCAGACCCACCAACACGATAGTACTGCCCCCCAGACGCTAGATAATCCATCAGCCCATCACGACGGGTCAACGCATCAGAGTCATACCCCATCGACGGCCCACATTTCTTCATCACCACACTCTTGTCCTCCACCCCTAAAAAGGACGTGTTATCGTACTTCACGAAGCAACCCTCTAGTTGCAACGCCCCACCCGCCGAGTTGACACAGAGTATGCCGAGTTGACTCACCGCGTGGGAGACACAGTCCCGGCAGTCCGAGTTCTGGAGGTCGCCGCGGCATTGGAAGAGGCCGTAAACGGTGTCGTTTGGACCGGAGCCGGGGACAGAGACCTTGAAGTTGTTGTAGGTGGCAAAGGAGGCCGAGTTGACCAGGGAGCTGAGTAGCGAGTTGACGTTGGACTCGTATGGTGTGCCCGAGTTGTATTTTGGCTGAGCACAACCACCGTATAGGAAGGAGTCTGTGGCTGAAGATGATGGGTAAGTGAGAATTGTGATTGTTAGAAAGAAACCCAAGAGAGAAGAGAGAGAGAGGGCTTGAATGGACATGTTTATTTGCTCTAGCTGGTTCTAGAGAGTGAAAGAAAGTGAAGAAAGAAAGAAAGAGAGAAAGTGAGAGAAATTTAGACGTGATGAAGTAGAACTTGAACCGTTAGTTTGATGATATATATATATATATATATAGATAAATATATGTTTGTGTTATGTGATCATTTAGATGACTATAGTCATGTTTGGTTGTTGATTTTGAAAAATATTTATTGAAAATGAAATAATTATACATCAATGAAAGTGAAAGATTATTTTATGGAGAAATTAAAAGATAAATAATAAATATCTTATTTTATTTTATTTCAGTGAATTAAATATAATATAAGAGATTATACAAGTGTGGGTATGAAATATATTTAAGAACACATGAATTTGATATTATATATAGAATCATAATTTTTTTAGAAATGAGCTCAACCAACAAGTAATAGAAAATTTTACGAATAATTTCACTGCAATATTCTTGAAATTAGTGATAAGATTTACGAATATTAAAAGATAAAATTATAAATTTTATTACATATTTGTAATGAATTTTTGTAATAATCACTGACATGTTATTTTCTAAAAATTTTATTTATATATATATATACATATATATTATATATGTATGTCTATGAGTGAATTGAGAAGTTTGGAAGTGTATAGAGGGTTGCTTGGTGGAGAGTTTACATAAGAGAGAGAGAGACAAAGAGTCAAGTAGATGATGTGTGTATTGTGTATGAGTATATGATAGTGTCTCATGTGCTAAAGTGAACATGTGATTGTGAAGATGATTATGGACCATCTAGGGGGTAGGGGTTGGTGGAGTTGACGACTTTCTTCAAATCATGCTCACCTTAGTATGTTTTTTTTTAATCACATTTTGCAATTTATTTATTTATTTTTACTTTGGATTTCTTGTATTTTATTTGATTTTATAATAGATGTTTTAAAATGCTTTGGAAAATAACTAAGCAAATCTCAGCCAAATGCTTGGGTTTTTATTGTTAAATTTTCTTAAGTTGTTTACTGTTTAATTTAACATAATTATCTTGGTATTTGTAAAAAAATAAATATTCTTCTATGGGTGAAGGGAAAAAAAAAATCTTATCCCATAAGTTAATATTATCAAAAGTGAAGAAAATTAATATTTTGATAATTGATTATCACGAAAATTAATAAACAGTCTTGTTTTTTTATTAATTACAGAAATATTTTCTGCTAATTTTTATTTTCTTTTATACCAAACATTAGAAAATATAAAAAAAAATATTTCAAAAATAATTTCCGTCCAAGAAAAAGTATTGAAAAGGAATTGCAAACCAAAAATAAATAAATAAATAACCTTACCTCTCTCCGCACATCCAAAAAGAAAAGAAAAGAAAGTCACCATATATAATGAGAAGTAATGTTAAGAATCATGAAAAAAATATTATAAAGATGATCATAAAAGATTCTTTACCGTTAAATTACACATACAATAAAATACCACACTAATCAAAGAATGAGTACCAAGTTTCACTTTCTCATTCCCAAAAAATAAAATAAAATAAAATAAAATAAGATGTTATTTTGATTTAATTTTTGTGTACATTAAATGTTTTAAATACTATTTTTCATTAAGTTTTATAGGTAAAATATTTTTTCTTTTAATTTTACTTGAGAAAAATAGACAAATGGTCTACATTAAAAATTAAAAAAAAATTAAATTTAAATTAATAAAATTTAAATATTTTTTTGTTAGAACCGTCAAGTTGAAAGTTTTTTTTTTTTTCTGTAATTTTTCCAATTTTTATATTAAAAAAAAAATCAGGCAAAACAAACGGATCGTCCATCTATTTAGAGATAACCACCAATGTACGTCGGTAATAAACTCTCTGAGTGATTGATTACTAAGACAATAGTTGAGATAACCACCCAATGTATTCCGGACCGTCCGTCTGGAATAGTCCGGTTCAGTTCAGTTTATTAGATTCACTTTTCAGTCTTTTTTTAATAATCAAAATTATTCATATTTTAAGATTTATTGAATATATTACTTTCATAAAATATCATGTTGATCGGATAACGAATACTATGTATTCCGATCACTTTTGTTTGAAAAAAATAGACGGTCAGAAAATTAACGGTTCATAAAAAAGTAATCTGAATACATAGTATCCGTTATTCGATCGACGTGATTTTTTACAGGGATAATATACTCAAGAAATTTTAAAATGTGAACAGTTTTGATTATCAAAAAAGGATCCGAAAGTGGGCCCAATGGGCTGAATTCGACCCTCCAGTCCAGATGCTTGATTGGAAGCAACCCCAGCCTAAGAAGAATTATCATTTTTTTTTTTTACCACATAAGAATTATCATTTTGTCTCCTAAACTACTATTCAACCCATATTCTTTTAATAATATCAATTTTACCATTAAATTATTTGATTTTAGATCAATTCTACCCATGTCATTAGCTACCGTTTATAATCAAACGGAAGTTGTTGACGTGATACTCAAATTTCGTTTAAAATTTCATTTTACTCTCCAAACTATCTCTAGAATATCAATTAGACCCCAAACTTTATTTTATTCATGGGCCAATTGACATTTTCGAAATAGTTTTGGGAGTAAATAAAATTTTAATGAAATTTGAATGCCACATCAATAATTTCTCTTTGATTATAAACAGGAATTGATGATGAAATAAAATTAATGTAAAATTGAATAATTCAATTATAAAATTGATATTATTAAAAAAAATAGACATTGAATTGATTTTTAAGTGATAATTTAATGACAAAATGATATTTTTTTCCAAGATTAACCACTAATTTAGTTAATTAATAACGAAATACTAGGCTGTATCTTAAAACATGAATGAGAAGACTTGACTTAAAAAGATGAATAAGAAGACTTGACTTAAAAGGGTTTTGATTCTTGTTCTAGCTACCATTTTTTCGTTTCCGGTGTTGGGTTCGTTTTTTGATTTTTTAATTTTTTAACTAGCTTAGTTGGAGTTAAAAAGTCTTATTTAGAATAAGTTTTTTAATTTTTATGGAAAAAAAATAAAATAATTACAATTTAAATATAATATTTTATCTTATTAATTTTTTAGTCTATTTTATCTTTTTATGTTTAAAATAATTTCGTTTGGCATTTGATTTTTGGTTTAAAAAGTAAACCCACACGCCAAAGGAAGGTTGAAAATTGGACAATCCTTTGTCGGTGATACCTACATTTTTTACCCACCCACAATGAACATATTTTAAGTAAGTAGTTCTTAAATTTGAAAAAATTACATTATATTTTTTAAAAATTTTATATCACCTAATACAACAACACTTAACTATAATTTTATTAATAATATATTAACTGTATAGATTAAAAAATAATATAATTATTTTTTTTTACATGGAAATACATATTTTATCTGGTTTATCCATAATATATTAACTGTATAGATTAAAAAATAATATAATTATTTTTTTTACATGGAAATACATATTTTATCTGGTTTATCCATGTGTCTTTATTTGAGTTGTTTTTAAAAAATCTAAATCCTCTCGAGATATAGATTCATGATTATGTTTTAATTTTGAAACAGTGAATGTCAATCTCAATCAAATAATTAACGACAAATCAGCACAATAATTTAACATGAAAAAAATCACGATTGGAGCACCTCCAATTGTGATTAAAAAAATCACGAGCCAAAGCCTCAAAATAATCCAATAAGAAGACATAAAGGAATTACATATGAGTACTCTCGATTACCTAGCGAATCCCGCCTGAATTGAACCAATGGCGAATCTACACCTAAATTGAACAAAACCTGATGTGCCTCTTCCACTGCCATCCTCAACTAGGAACTTCTTTGCCCAACGTTGAATCCACAGCACTAATGTTAAATCTACGATGGTGAACTACTCCAGAATCCACAAAAATTTCAGGCCAAAGGTTTACGGAATCCCTCAAAAAACACCTCTCTTTTTATGTGAATAAAATAACGAAAACAACCCTTGATGTTTCACACTATGTAGTTCATTGATCAATCGATCACCTTTTGTACATCAAGGAAACTCATATAAACGACTCTCTAATGTAGAACACTTTATATTTTTCACCTTTCTGAGAATCTAAACGGTTTAAACCCTAAAAAGGGAAAACGGCGCACTTTAGAGAAATAAAGTCACGAGGACCACCCGAGCGCACACTTCACCGCTTGACCGGTGTCACGCCCCAAAATTTGGACAATTAAATATTAAATTAGGACTAAACCCCAATCAATATTCCATCATCCAAATCCTAGGGGTGAAACAAAAATCTAAACATTCTAATCTCAATAAGGTAATTAACAAAACACCAATCATACCATGCACCATAATTTCATAAACTATCTAATATACCCAACGTTACAGTAACATTAAATACTTCAAAACAACTTAAATAATATAAGGTTACAACCCAAGCCAAATTATCCAAAATACTAAGGTCATTAAAAAAAAAAAATAATAATTACATAAATTAGTATCAACCCTAAACTCAAGAAAAATAAAAGAAGTCCAAACGACAGATCCTACGATCACGGTTATTTCTTGTCACCACCAAAGCCCTTACTAATCCTGCAAAGGAAGCTCAGCTGCGCTCCAACAGAACGCACCCGAGTTGCCAAGAGACAAAACGGGTCAGTATACAGGTATACTGGTATGAGTACAAGAATTGACACCCACGTGTCCACCAGACACAAACAAAAAGTACATTATTTCTTATCACGGGACAAGACAAGTAGTTCCAACCGCATCGAGACGAATGGGTAGTTTCTCGAGACACAGTGGCATTTAGTTTCTTGTCCGTACACAACGAAATATAAATTTATTATAAAATAAACAAAATAGAAATAGAAATATGGTGGGTCAGCCCTGCATAAAAAGTTAGTAAGACCCACCATACTGCAAAACAAATAAAATTAGTATAATCATAAGTAACTTGTTGAAACAAATATAAAATTACATCGTTTCATACTTAAATAATTCGAATTGATCAAAACTCAAAGAACGAAAGTTGTACAGAATCAAATTTCTTATAAGACCACGCGAACGAATTTAACAGAAACTGAACAGGTTAAGAGAAA